ATGAACGCATATCCAGCAAATATGGCATGCCTTATCGATCGGGTTGGCTCACTCTTGTCGTTTCAGTCAGGTCCTGTTGGAACATCGCACGTCTGACGCCGCTTCCAAGGTCGCGTCAGTGCGCCGCTGCTTAAAACTCGAATCTCCTGACCCGCGCCGGTTCTTTTTGTAGGTGTTCATTCAATTTATCGGAAAGACCACTGAAGCTGAGGGAGAGGGCGCAGATCGGACTTACTAGGTGTGAGCTCAAACAACTGGTCTCAGAGCAGACTTTCAATAGAAAAAGCCATTTGGTAGAATACAGTGTTAAGGGTAATTTCTGAACTCATAAACACCCATAAATCACTTACAAACCAATTATTTGTTTTCAAACTTGAAATACATTAAAGGTGCAATATACCGTACCTTTCATAGACATAAAAAGTGATTGTGACATGATATCGATGAGAATAATGAATAGTGTGGTAAGATCAGCGACGATGATCCAAATAAGGAATTGAAAGTGATGTGATTTCTTCAATCGGAATAGCCTGACAAGGGCCTAAAAAGTGGTTATATTCAAGGAAATCTGGTAAAAAAATTACTAGGTGGACAAATCTCTTTGGTAGGTGACATACCCATGATATCACGCCTACTGATATAAAAATGATAACCAGTATTAACCAGAACTGCACTTGGGATACCATCACCCATACTCGTAGCAGTTCCTCTTCACCTTCTAGAAACCGCGACATCTGGAATGGGAACTTTTCAGAAATAAGTACTTGAGAAAAAAAAGCGTGGAACGCGATCGATATATTGATTGGTGAGAGTAAGGAGCTGTGTATTTCGGAAAAGGCATATGGAGTGCGATCGATATATTGATTAATGAGGGTATGGAGCTGCGTTTCGAGAAAAAGCAGCATGAAGTGCGATCAATATATTGATTAACAATAACCTGAGCAGTGATTCGAGAGAAAAAGTGCACGAAACTCGGTCGATATATTGATCAACGAGTTGCCAGTTGGTTTGCGAAATATGGCAGAATTTCACGAAAGCGATGGAAATAACGTAAGAAAACAAGAATAATATCAGAGGAGTTCGAAGTAGAATTTGAAATGCATGAAACTACCAATTTCGATGAATTCGGGACTCAGGAATGAAACATACGGGAACCCGGAGTGACGTACGGCTGAATAATGGAAAAAAAGTGAAAGCCAGTAATTTTTCTACAAAACCTGACATGGGAGTTATCACAGGAAGTGCAATCGTTATGAAAATAAGCATGAAAATGGTGGAGGGGAGGGGGAGCAGGGCGTAGTGGGGGGGGCGAGGATGGTGCAATGGTAAGAGGTGGTGCTCATCACGAGCATGATATGGTGGTCAGTCCCTTGACTGGCTCTTGCCCGAGACAACCACACCTTTTATTCCCGCTGTAGTAAATGGTACCAATTTCTCAATGATGTCTTGTTTTTGTCCTCACCGACATGAGAAGGGAGACGGTAAAGAGATCGTAATTCGCCGCACTGCCACGCGCGGCGATGGGCGCGGCGTTTTCATAACTGCGTTTCAATACCTGCGAATGAAAGTCACCGGGACTCTATGTGACCCCGTCAATCGAGACACTCCTTTACTGTTTTCGGTCGCTTAATTGCATTGTCCGCCCACGATCTACTGCCTGAAAAACCATCGTCCTATGTGGGCTGGGACGTCGGCACGCGGACGCCCAGCAGCGCGGCAAATTACGATCCTCTTGTCACATACCCGAAATGGAAGGCTCTGAGATAGAGACAGACAGACAGGCAGACATACAGGCGGAAAGTACATACATACATACATACATACATACATACATACATACATACATACATACATATCATACATAACACTACATACATAAATACATACAGACCGAAAAGTCGCAACAGAACAGACAGACCAGACGAGACAGAGAAAGGCATACAGAAGTGTACCTACCCATTGAAGCCTGTACTCTTCCTTAAATCCCGCCGCAGGCTCGCCAAAGTGAAGTATAAAATACAAGAAACAACACATAGCAGTGAAGCTGGCATTCCAGTAACCAAACGGAATTGAAGCCTGAGCCTCGTTCTCGCAATTTCTCATCCCAAACTGCCATTCTTCCTTTGAATTCTGGCCGATCCCATAACTCATTAAGTAGCAACATACCCCTCATTTAAAATTCCCCTTCCAAACACTTCAAGAACAGCAAAATAAAAAGAAACAAGCATCTTTACAAGAGCATGCCCTAATAAAAAAATTATTGGATCTATCATATGAAATCGTGTAATTTACATAGCAAATCGGCAAGCATTTCAATGTTTAAGCCAAGTTGTGTTGAACAGCCACTAATATTCAGAGATTAATTGGGATGCGTGGCGTATCCCAAAGGGACTAATCAACGACAGACTTTGAGTGTATTCGTGGGAAAAACAAATACACAACAGGAATAAGAGAGAGAGAAATGGCTCATTAACTAAACTACCAAAGTTCCAACTGGCACAGCTCTTCAGGAGGAATGGGGGGGGGCAAATCACTGTGTACCAGGCTTATGACTTCCGCGGAGCTCATGCATGAGATAACGGAGTAATGAGTGCTCTAAAAAGTAAGCATTTTCGCTGTTAGAGCGTTTTCATAGAAAATTCAGGCTTGAGATTATCACATCATATCAAAACTGGAATATTACATGAATCAAGCGTAAGCAAATCAAGCATGAAGCAAAGGCATGAATCCACCTCACGAAACCATCGACACGTAAGAGTGCAAGTGATAAAACGCACGTCATTGATCCAACCCCCCTCTCAGGTCCTAACGCAATCAACTTTCATTCTTTGTATTTAGTATGATTAGACATATAAACTTTATATCCCACAAAGAAATGGAGTGGTGGCAAATGAGAGGCTCTCCAGGCGCGCGGTCAGTGGACCAAATTGCTGATCGGGTCCCACCCAAGCCAATCGAGCATTCTGCCTTCTGCGGACGGTAAGCCGGTATTGAATTCGTCTGGGAGCCCAAGACAGGCTTGCACATCGGCTGATCCCTCCAGGTCATTATAGGCCACATCGCATTCAGCAAGCCACTACGATTCTGAATGGAAGTAGAATGCGTGCCGCATCTCAGAAAAGGATCGATGAAGGGGAACACATTATCTTCTTATTTCTCCGGAAATGGGAGGGGGGGGGGTTGTGGTTGCGTGTTTTATTTGAACATGTCTTTTTTGTGGGACTTTTCCGTGCAAGAGAGCTGTCACGCTGTCCTTTGCAGCACAGAGACATGATAACGATTGTTGCAAAACTGCAGATGAGATGGATGGCGCTTTGGAGGGATATAGCCATCCCTCTAAAAGAGATGATGGCAACATCCCTCCAAAAACGCAGCCATCCTCTTCATCTCCGGGATATGGTAGGATGATTCATTGAGTCCATCCGATACTGGTGTCAGCTTTTTCAGTCGTATCCAGAGCAGACGAGCCGACTCCTGTCACAGGAGTCCTGTGAGATGAGAGAGGTGTTCATGCCTAAAGGGAAATCCATCCACACAAATTCAGGCATTCCATTTCACATTCATGTCATCAAGCGATGGGAGGCACAACGCGCACATAATATGGGGGAAGCAAACAATCAACAAAAAATTTGAATTTTTTTTTTTCTCGCGGCGAATTAGCCGTCCCCTCTCTCCAGCTGCCAAGCACGATTCCTGTTGTGTTTTACACAACAAACGGTGAGAGCTCTAAATTCGAAGCATTGTATGTGGTAGGTGCCTCTCGTCATGACCCCCCCCCTCTCCCTCCTGCCACGGAGCCAAATGGCACATTAATCATTGTGTTTCTGGAGTTGAGGAAAAACGAGTATCTACGAGAAGACCACGTGTAGCTTGTCAGAAATGTTTTCCTCTCCCCTGTCTTCAACGTAACGGCAGAGGATTTCAAGGAAAGTTGGTCATGCCAAAGCAGAAAAGTCAAAGCGGCCGCATCTTGCAGAACTTCCACACGATGCCATGGGGCGGGGGGCATGGGGGGGAGGTATGGTGCTCTGGAAACATGAAATTTCACGGATAATGTCAACACACACTCCAGTTAGAGGCAAAAAAAGTAAACTAGATACCCTTACCATGCATGAGTCATAGTACGACGCGCCCTCCGCTTTTATCATAACCGTCGTTTGAGCGAGAAATTCATGTGCTATCAGAATATAATTTTTCTCAGCCCAAATACGACCCAAGAACCGCCTGCCCCCCTACTGGCGACACCCAAACGAATGTGCTATGGGCGAGTTGGGGGGGGGGGGGGGGGGTGATGGGGAGGGTAGCTCTTATGGATACTATATGAGGTCCTAGATAGGGGAGCGAGCGAAGGCAAAGTAGACGAGATGAAAGAAATCCTTCGGCGAGTCGGCTGGGTGGGGGCGCCAAATTGTACTCAGTACAGCTCTAAAAGGACACGCTTTTGTGAAGTCAGTAAAATCTATGTCACAAATGTGGCGCACTTGTAAATTGGCATATTTTTAGCAAGTTTCAGTAACAGTTATCAGAGCTCACAGGAAACGAGACGCTGGTTGTTTAGCGTAAATTAGGCAGTGGAACTAGCAAAAATAAAATACCACTGCCCTAGCCGAACAGGCGGCAGTGTGTCTTCCCCAAGAACATATGATAGATCGAACGAAGCCGTACACGAACGAATAAAATGCAATAGTAAATGAACAAATAACCGTTCGAAAGACATTTGTATTGGAAATGGTAGGGAGTATGATTCCTCGAATGAGTCCTTTGACGCTCAACACTTGGGCGCGCCGTCGCTCATTTGGTGATAAAAAATTTTTGCAACATATAAGAATAAGAAGAACACAAAATCAATAAAATACAAAAATTTTCGCATACGCCTGCCTCATACAGAGCACTATTGCTCAATCTACAATCTTACCTTGAATTCTCTCCATATCCTATTACTGTTTTCCAGGCAGCATAACTATTCCGAAATACTGTCGGGAGCGAGGAGGCGAGTGTCAAACGTGAAAAACGGATGGAAATACGACTGATCGCCTGAGAAAGATGCATCACATGAAAACATTTTTCTCAAAGGCAGGTACGACCTTCCCCCTCGATGGGAATCCCCAATCAAAGAGGGTCTTATTATCACGGGTCCCGGTCATCAGAGGAAGATTGTCGCACCGATTTTCGGGGATTGCATACATTTCGTTTTCATCGCTTGAGGTTTTACTCAATAGAAAAAAGGATGGCCCTGAAAGTTCCAATGAACCATTATGAAGCATTATTGTTGGCGTAATGGTTTGTAATTTCGTGATAATGGCATTTAATAGCAGCAAAAGTCGAAGAGAAATGTTCACTCGCCCTCCGCCAGACATCACGAGGACGGAGCGTAACATCTGATCACTGGCTCAAGCTGTAGATCTTTGGGTAAGAGAAACATCCCACGAAGTGTTGGCAGGTAGTCAAAAATGAAAACAGAGGGTCAAGTAAATCACCAAAGCAGAAAAAAAAACAAAAGACAATCGAAAAGTGCCCTCAACCAGAGTCTCTCTTTTACTTTGCAGCAATTAGACATAAACTGAAAGTGCACGAGCTTACAGCGAAGGAAGGGCACTCGGACGAGAGTCAAGATGGCGAAGAGGTAGGGGAACACAGAGACGAGCGAGACGATATTCTCGCACGGGGAAGGTGAAGACTCTCCGCTCATGGAAGTACCTGATGAGGAGTGGCAAGAAAAGTGGATACTCTAGAC